TTAAAAAAAAAAAAAAAAAAAAAATAGTTATTTAAAAAAATCATTCCTGAGATCCCACCTCCCAATTTTTGGTGACATTTCAATATTTAAAAAATGGTGTTCACCTCTAATTGACTGAAAGCCATCTCTGTGTCCCCAGTGGCTCTTTAGTCTATAGGATCTCAGTGGATAAGTGCCCTCACCCCCAAAACCAGCACCATGCACCAATCTCATTAGGCAGACCCAGGATGGGATTTATTCTGGAAGATGATGAGTAATTTAACATCACAGCCCTGGGGGGGTTTCTCCAGAGAATGGCTGCCTTGAGTTGTGAAGCGCTGGTTTTGCATCTTAGATATGTTAGCTATTAGAAGTAATTCTACGTTGCAGTGTTTCTCTACATTTTTAGACTCGAGTCACTCCTTTTTTGACAACAGAAAAATAAGAGAGCGGTCCTTTGTTGCATAAAACCCCTCAGAATGACCACAGAGGTCAGAATAGTTGTTTGCACTATAGCTTCCCGTAGGAAGACTCTTGAGTCGATCTGGTGACCCATGTTTGTGCACACAACAGTGCTAATACTGCGTAGCTCCCTGCAGCATCCCTGAGAGTATATCAAGGCACCCCGGTTGAGAATCACTGCTCTAGTGCTTTCCAGCCCAGATCCTTTGCGATCACTATAAACCCCGGCCTCTGCCGGTAGACGTGCACGTGAAGTCTGCCAGGTACATGAGTCTTGAAGAAACCTTTGTTTTATTCTAACAAGACCTACCACCCACCGTTGAGGTTCAACACGTCTCTCCTTGCCTGTTCGCCAGGTGCACGTAGCCGTGAGCCATTTCAAGATCAAACTCTACCTGGACTGCAGGAAAATAGCGGAGAGACCAGTCAATGCGGTGGGCAGCATCTCCACTGCGGGCTTTGTCATGCTGGGGAAACTCACAAGGACCAGAGGACCGAGGAGCGGGTCGGCCACCGTAAGTCCAAGGCTTATTCATTTTCAGGAGGATCTGTGGGTCCAAATTCAGCCGGATGGGGATAGGATGATGGTCTCCCATCCCTCTGGTGCAGAGTGCCTTATAGCACATCTGTGAAGCCAGGCAGTGTGTTCTCTCCCCCTTCCTTTTTTAGAGATTTAATGAGTTTTTCTTAATGCAGTGGCTTTCTCTCCTTTCTCCTTCTGGAAGCGCAGCCTTTGAGGTTTGGGACTAGCCATAGTGTGGTGTGCTTGAACTGCAAGGAAACAGCAGGCCTTTCACTTGAATATTGCCTAGTTTCAGAGCCAGAGGAAACTGATTCTGCTGTAATACGCAGAAGAGGCAGGACTGGAGGGCAAACTCCCACGGAGTAGCATCAGCCAGTAATGGGGATTAGAGAGCAGTACGTGTGGATGCGTTTCATTCAGTCTTGCTCCCAAGAAAGCCTTGTCCCTGGGTGCGTGTGTGGACGGCTGAAAAGCAATGCGCAGCTTTCGAGGTTCACTGCCAGTTTAATCAAAGAGAAACCAGCTCAATGCCAGCCCATGTGACAAAACCCCCTCAAACCCTGGCTTGCTAGGGAGAGAGGAAGCAAGCACAGGGACCTTGCAGCGGGCCCCAGAAAGGAGTGAATGGGCAAGCTTCAGTCCCATGGGGAAAAGCAACATTGAGACACAAACGTGCCCTGGAGCTGATTCATCCTTTCCTTGCACTTTGTGTTGCCCCTGACAGCAGTGTAAAATGAGTGGAAAACCGCTACGAGATCATAGGACTACTTCGCTTCATGCTGATCTAAACCCTTGCTTAAAGGGCTGGTCAGCAGTTGAACGATGCGCCGTCTCCACTTGGCTTGCAACTGTAGAGCTAAGGATTTGCAAACCAGACAAGGTCAGCTGGTTGCAACTTCCCACACCTGAAGACAGCTTTGCATAAGCAATCTGGCCACAGGCATTACATGCAGGCTCAGCTAACTCAAGGGAGAAGCAGTCATTCAGCATACCATGAAAAACGTACCTGACTCGAGTCAGCAGCATTCCCTGTGATGTGCAGGAACAGATGGGGAACAAAACAGGGGGACACCGAGTCAAGCAGACCTCAGTTTGCACGTCAAAAAAAAAATGCTGCTGCAGTTTAGGCTGGCAATGACCCCGTCAGATCTCTTCTTGGGAGTTGAAATTCCTGGCGCTCATCTTCGTTTCCTCTTTAGCAGCTTAGCTAGCGAAGTTGAGCATTTGAGGAGCCACTAATGAACAGCTCACACCGTCTCCACTTCCATCATCCTTCAAGCCTAGCGAGGCTTCGCATCTACGTCCGCTCAGCTGCCCTTGAGAAGACAGAGTGCCTCATTATTGGTTATCATCCAGCCTTATTTCATTTGAGATGTCTTTAAATGCCAGTTGATCTACCGGGCTAATTTTATATCTATATGCTACATGTCACACTCCCTCCATTAGTCCGCTTTCTCATGGTTAAGTGCACGAGAGAAAAAAGCCTCAATTCAGGGAAAATGGCATTTAAAAAAAAGCAGTCTATCTTAAAATGCACCAGCTGCTTTTTTTTTTTAATTTAGTTTTCATGTGGCATTTGTCCCCCGTGCTAATCAAAATAGAGGGATCTGGCAGCTGAAGGAGAGGAAGAAGAGGAGATTGGGGGGTGGGAAGTTGGAACGTCTCCCAAGAATACCTGCTGCTTTTGCTCTCCTACCAATTTCCTTGAGTGGCAGCAAAGGAAAGGTTTTTTTTGTTTGTTTTTTTTTTACATTTTGGCTGGTGCTGAAGCCAATTACTTGGAGCTTTGGGATTTGGGGAGCTGCTATTGATGTGTGAATAAATCAGGAGCACAGCGCTATTGGCGTGGGCCTTGCCCGTTGTGTCGCTTTGCACAGCTCTTGACTCGGAGGCCCGAAGACGTGCCATCCAAGCAGTTCCCGGGTGCTCCTAAGTGCTACATCGCTGTGCAGCTGCATCTGGTTCAATTGCAACTGAATGAGTGAACTGGTGTAAAGTGGAGGGGGGAACAAAAGACATGAATGAATTCATAGGGGTTTCTCTTGCAGTCGGCTGCCGCAGCATGCAGCCAAGAGCCGACGTGCATTTTCCCCCTAGATCTCTCTGCGGGGTGGCAGTTAGAAGGAGCTATTCTTCCCTTTGTTGTCTTAATGAGATTTGGCATGAGCTCTTGCTAAGAGCATAAAATAGTTTCTGCATTCAGTTTGTAACTGCTGTACTAGGGACCATCGAGATATCCACGCGGTCTCACGCTTTTTCTATACTTGTATTCTCATCGGGACCCCCGGCTTCAGCGATGCGGGGTGGTGGAATAGCTAGGCATGCCTACGTAGAAGTAGGTTTTGCAGCTCTTCTAGTGAGTGTCATCTCCCTCTCTTTGCTCCACAGTTCCAGCTGCAGTCTTTGCAGATTGTGTGCAATGCTTTGTGGGCAGAGGATGACCCATGTTGTGAGCTCCCTGCACTGGTAAGACACAGAAGACCTCTCTGCTCACTGACATCCAACTGGGGAATTTATCACGTAGGACCAAGAAGGAAATGCTGGTGTTTTGAGGGGCTCAGGAGGTGATGATGTCTCTCTTGAGAAACTGAGGCCATGTAGTTATCAGCTTGAGACTCATGTGTGTGCACACGCTTTGAATGCAGGGGAAAGGTGCACTTGGGCACACAGCCCCTAAGACAAGCTTGTTCTCTTTCTTCAGAGAGATGAAGAGACGTGTCCTGCCTTGGCTCCTGCCTGTACCTGCATGTCCAGTGTCCCAGGCCTGCCAGGTCCCCCCGGGCCTCCTGTAAGTTCAGATTTCCATGTTTGTCCCCAGAAACAACTATGCACAGCTCTATGGTGCAATGCTTCTGGGGCACAGCATAGCCAGGGGCAAAGGGCAGGTGCTTCCAGCAGCCCAGGCACAGGGTGGGCAGAGGAAAAGAAATCCAATGCCACAAAGAAGCATGAACATAAGCAGCGAAAGATGGCATGTGCCACTGCAGGGCTTTGTCTTTTTTTCCCCTCTCCCTTTTCTTGCATGACCTGATTGAAGGGGCACCCAGTCATTTTAGACCCTGCAGCTTTGGTGGGCAGGGATGTTTTGCTGTGATTGCTACTGCCACACCAAGCAAATACAGGACCAGACCAGAATGCCACTCTGAAGTCTGAGCGTCCCTTTTGGAGGGAGGAGAAATGGTAGCTGAAACAAAAAGATGTTGCTTAGATTGTGTATGTCCCCAGTGGCTCAGGGCTTCCTGGCATTGGGTCCAACCCCCTCTCTTACAGAGGAGCTTGTATACAGCAGCATACCATGGCCTGGCTTTGATTTCCTCTCTCGCTGCCAAAGTGCAAACAGTAATCCGGCAGGGCAGTAATGGCAGCTGGGACCAGCGAGAGTGTTTCCCGATACCATGCTAATCCTCTTAGGGGAGGAAGGCCGGCTGCCCTCTTGGTCTGTCTATAGAGATCAGCTAGATAGGGAGCTTTGTGAAGACCTGGAATGCAAAAAAAGCCTTATTCCCTTTTATTTGTGATTAAATGCAGAAACAGAACAGGGAACCTCTTAAGGCTTTAGTGCAACCTCTGCTCTCTGAAGTGCACAAACCCACCAGGAGACCCCAGTACAAAACCTGGTTCTGTACCAGCCTTCACAGGAACAATTAGATCTACTTGCATCGCACCTAAGGTTTTGCTGGTGGCCTGCAAAGTGTGTCACAGCCATGTGCAAAGGACAGGGACTTGGATGCAAGGAGCTTGTAACTGAGGCATGTGAAGAGAGAGGAAAGTTGTCCCTTTCTGTCTCGCAGCCATTGCCAAAAAAAAAAAAAAAAATAAACCACACAACTCTGGATTTCAGGACACACAGGTAGAGAGGGGAAATATTACAACTCTGGCTTTTCCTTTCACTCTTTAGGTGCTTATAAAATCCTTTGGGGTGTGGATTCATAGACTCATAGTTAATGAGGGTTGGAAGGATCCTCAGGAGGTCGCATCTAGTCCAACCCCCTGCTCAAAACAGGACCAGCCCCAACTACA